ACATTCATATAATAATGAAATTTATTATTGCATAGTCTTCTTGATAAATGCCACTATTTATTCTCTCTCATCCTTTACTGTGGAAGAGTATCACCTTTCCAATGAATGGAATTTTTTTTACTTTCAGAAATAATTACTAGATATATACTTATCTAATTACATTTTTGTTTCACTACATTATGTGAAAATAAGTAGAATACCCAAGGGAATCATGTCCTCGCAGGCAAAGACTGGCTCTATGCCACTTGAAATGGCTTTTCCACATCTCCATCTTTTAGTGCCATTTGCTTCTTATGTTACTGTTATGGAATGACTTCCTTTTCTGAATGGAGGATTCAATCCAGACAGACTGGAAGTTACCTTGCCCAAGGAGATATTTGCAATGAATGGCCTCTTGTCTGAAAGACACCCAGTTTACTAGACTTAATGTCCTACCCAGAAATAATCTCTCCTGGGCTTCTCTGATATCAAGACTTCAAATGGCTATCTCCTGCACCATCCTATGAAAAGAGCTGCTATTTGCTTGATGTGCACCATGTACCAGCATTGTAGACATTAGACTTTAGAAACGCAATTTTCATAACTTTCTAAGGTAGAAACAAGTATATCCATTTTATAGATAAGAATGCTAAATGAGAGAAGTGACCCATGGAAAGTTAGGAGTGGGCAGATGGTTTTCCAACATCCAGTGGCCTACCTCTATTACTTGTGTTAAATTTAGTCTTTATCTCCCAAGTCATTTCTTTTTACATCATGGATTACCTCATGAATATAAGTGATAGGTATTTGGTGCAGCAAAGAAACAGGCAGAAGGAAGAAGGGAAAGGGGCCTTATTTTCTCTGAGGACACAGAGAGAATTTGAGGAAGATAAGAAATTTTCTGGACTAGACAAAGGGAGACTGAAGCTTTTATGGCCTTTTGCCAGGGGAGGAGTTTGAGGGGGATGTTTAGATATACCTGAGAGGCTGATTGGGGATCTTCCCATAGGTGGAGGGAACGATGAAAGTAAATTATGTCTGGGATTGAGTTGGAGAAGAAGGGAGGAGGTGGTCTTGGGGAAGATGGGCTTTGTTTTAAGGGCTTCAGCCATACTAGATGGCCACCATGATGATCTTTAGCAATTCATACTAGAGCCAGAACTTATCAAAAAGAATGGTTTTAGTAACTGTGACTACAATCCATATTTGAAAAATAGCTTATCTTTGGGATTGATACAGGAAACACAATTAATCTCATTAAGTTTTAAGAGATCTGAGACTTGAGATCTGGACTTCAGGGACAGTGAAGTTTAAGCACGCTAAGTAAGAAATCAGACTAGTTGTGAACCACTTAGTAACTTAAATTAGTGACTTGAACAATGTTAGTTTCTTTCATTTCACCCTACTTTGCAGGTTTAAAAAGGATTAAAAGATTTATAAGGCCTCTAACCTGACTTCATTAAAACCAGAGAATTGTTGATGCTTGGGGAGTATTTAATACCCTCTGACTAACTGAGCTTCAAGTTGGTAAAACATTTGGATTGGAACAGAAGCTTTTAAAGGCCATTCATGAAACAAAAATAATCCTAAGACTTTTCATAATTAGTATGCTAGAACTTTCTCTGTCAAATTTGACTACAAATCTTTGAAAGGATATGTTTCTGATATAGTATATGACACTTAAATATAGTATATGACACTTAGTTAAATCTTAGTAAACAACTATTCATGAATAATGAGCTGTTAGTTTAATACTATATCTGGTTATATTTGATTCGTTCTTTATAAAGCATATCCTCTTCTTAGCCTTACCAAGTCATGTCCATCAACCAAAAAGTATGTCTAGAAGATGGCTCACTGTGCATGTTAAAAATTGTGCTAATGTTAATTTAAAGTACCTTTGGGAGTATCTTTTTTATGCCTGTATGGTAGAGTCCCATTCAAGTTTATTCACAGTTTCTCAATCTAACATTTTCTGAATTGCTTTTTGAAAGTGAAAACGTGGTCTGTGGCTACTTCCTCAAACACTAGTCCCTGTACCGTATACATGCTTAATATATAGGAATAGTGTGTGCTTCCAGGTGAGCAGAAACTTAGGAAGTTGAACCTGCCACATTCCTGCCATATATTAAGGCAATTGTCTGTAGGCTGATGTGGCTGCGTTACATTTTGAGTTTTCTGAGCGGTATATTCCAGTGTTGTAAGATTACTTTTTTAAGTACATTTATTTTCTGCTTATACTGTCCATCTTAGGTCACCTGCATGGGTTATTTGGTTGTGGATTGTTTTTTTTTTTTTAAATTAGCATATTACATCTTTTTTGTCTGTGTATTTCTGATGGGCTATGTCTGTGCACTTCATTTCTCTGAGTTTGACATTTTAGAAGGCAGGAGTGGCAAGATTATGCAGGCTTTAAAACTGTAGTTTCATCTTTCCTGCTTCTAGATAATTAGAAGTAATTCAGGCGTTCAAAAAGAAGGGGGTGGTGAATGAAGACAAGAGAAAGGAAAAGAACGCTCTGGGACTGTCCTGCTTCAAGGTTGTATATGCTTAGATTTTTGGACTTATGTGTAAACATAAGAACATAATTCTTTATGCCTTTTTAAAAATATATTCTAATTTTTAAATATTTTTTTCATCATATTCTATAAGGACTTAAAGTTCAACATATCAATACTTGATGAAAAATACCTGTTTCATGTTATGCCTAAGATGTTTGATATTCAGACAGATAGTGAGGTTAAGTTTAGCAGCCTAGGTTGTATGGTAATAACAATAAGCTTGTCTTCTGGATGGTTAACAACCTAAGTTTACAGACCAAAGTTAGAGAAAAAGGAGGGCTGCAAGGAAAGCCAACATTTGGCCCTAGCCTTCTAAGGCCAATTAAGACTCAGGACATATGAGAACTTGTACTGTAACGTCATGTAACTCAGTAGTGTCCCAAATTTTCTGATTAAGGAGATTATGGAGCCAAAGAGGAAAGTGATCAATGATGTAGAGTGTGCCTAAGGAGAGTCACATGGAGAGAAAATATTCTCTCAGGCTTTCACAGAGAGCACATTGGCCAAGCAATGGGTGTGACTCATCCATATGGGTGACACTGACAAAGGTTCTACAATCTGAGGTACAAGATTTCAGGATAAATCCTGAGGGGATGTCACTGACCTCATCAGACTCAAAAGCTACAACTCTTGTTGCATAGGTGTTGTTTTACCTTGGTCTTAACCATCCAGCAGAAAAGTATAAAAACGAAGTATAAGAAGTAAAACCATTTTGTTATGTTGAGCTGTAGGGGACTCAGGTCAACAATTTCTGACATTTCTGACAATTTCTTGCTGGTGAAGCAGAAGACCCAATACTATTATGGACCACTGGACTCTTTTAGAATATTTTGCTGTGTAAACACACCTATAATATTCAAATAATGGAACCTAACAAAAAACAGGGATACAGATGAATGTCCATTTTGTATCTGTGTATTCAAAATGGTTAGGATAGATATATAGTTACATTCTCTTAATGAATAGAGGGATTTGTTCTGATAGTGTTTGTAAATAGGATATCATGTCCGCATCTTGTACAGCAATTAACCACTAGGAAGAATGTATGCAATGTGTTAATTATTG